CATTTTGAAGACTAATAGCAAGTCTTCTAATTCTTCATAATTACCATACTGCCTAACCCCACATGAATCCTTGATAGGTACTTAGGAAACATTAAACCCATAGGCTGGGAGGTGCTCCGAGAACATTTCCTCTACTGAGGATGCCTATCTCCCCCATTATACCGTCTTCACTTGGCAAAATGCTCACTTTTCAAGAAGAAACTCAAATGCCAGTTCAGTGTGGCCTTTTCTTGACACCACTAGGCAGAATTTCTCTTTTCTCTTCATATATATGTCTATTGGCACTTGTCATGTGGCCATAACTGTTTATTTATATATCTGTCTCCCCACCTAAACAATGAATTCTTTTCCTTCAAGAAAAGAACCAGATTTCACTTCTGTTGTAACTCCACGCCCAGTACTACCCTCATAATATAATACACGTCCAATAATGATGAACGAATGTACAGAATGAATGCACATAGCCTTTAGGAAAGGAGTTAATTTTTGCTTTGCTCTCTCTGAAAACTGTAGAACCAATTTTTGACAATTTGAGATGAAGAACTAGTGTGAGGTTTGACATCCAGTTTATAAGTTCACAATCTAAGCTGTATACAGGGTCAGGGGATAGATTATCCATAGGTTTCTGGTATCTACGCCAAGCCTTCTCCTCAATTACCTTTAATAGTTCTGAGTTGGCTATGCCTTACACTGCACTCTGTGGCTTTTGAAATCCACATTCAAGAATCATTAAGTGTTTAAAAACGACCCTTAAGAAATTTGCATAGTTAATATACTAGAAAGTACCAAGAATGTGCTTGTTACAATATCTTCTCCTAGGGTGGTCCATGGATTGCCATGAGACTTAAATTGCTCTTCCAACACCACACATGTACCTCTCATCATTACTATCTACCTTGAAGTAAAATATGCTACTTATTCTCTCCATTGGATGCATAGTCTTTGAGAACAGGGAGTTTTAGATATCTCTTTGTTCTCTGTAGCACCTAGCACAATAATTTCTATGGGGCAGGGGCTAAGTAAACAGTTTCTGTATGAATCTATTAATAACCATATTCCAAGTTTCTGATGAATATTAAAACTGAGCAACATGGGAGAAATTACTCTTATCACAGAATTAGTAGTGGTTGTCCTTTTCCTGAGCAACTAGTTTGTTTTACATAATGATCTTTATGAATTGTATTACCTCTTTCATTTCTTCCCTTAAAGTTGTCCACTAGACATCTTAGACTCAACTTGGTGGACCACACATAGGGAGTACGTGGGACTTCAAGGTACAATGTAATATACAAAAGCCTGTCTCCTTTTGCTACCTTTATTTTCCCTTTATTTAATTTTTCCTACTAAGTTTAATTTAATATTATCTTGCTATATTCTATGCATCTTTGTAAGCTGCCTTAAATTATTTGCAGGCCAAATAGATATTTATGAGCATAAATAAACAGACACATACATAAAATAAATATGAATGAATAAATACTAAATATCAGATCTGAGATTTTCTTGATTAAAATTAATTCTTGATTAAATATCATTTCCAGATTCTCTATTGATAAATTTCCTTTAAATTGTTATTACCAAATCACAATTTTAATCGTCCTATAGATTTTTCATAATTTTGCTCATGCTTGAGAATACCTTTTATTTTCCGTGTAATCATTTGGCCTCATTACGATGCACTTCCAACTTAGCTAGTGGCTTTATGGGGGGAAAAAAGGAGGATGAGAAGGTGGACAACAACTGTTTTCGAGATTATCTTTGTACTTGAAGAGTTGGGATGCAATAACGCTAACACTTATAGAACGTACCATGGGCTAGCAGTGTACCAAGAGCTTAACATCCTCATTTAATCCTGCCAACACCCCTAGGAGATGATACTATCACTGTCATGCCCTATTAGTGATGGGGAAACTGAGGCCCTCAGTGGTTTGGTAACTTGCCCAAGATCACCGCTTGACTAGATGACAGAACAGGGATTGAAACCCAGGCCAACTGGCCCCAAAGCTGTGTTTCTAATGACTTCGCTACCTCAGCTATTAATAACCATATTAATACCCTGAGCTACCCTGAGACTTCCAAGTCCTTAAGAGACCGATAAGGTAGCATTGAAACATTAGCTTCCAGTATTGTTCAGAAACTATTACGAACAATAAGAAGGAATTGGCAAACCAGATAATCACTTACGCCGCTGCAAGTAAAAGACAATTGCCCCCTCGAAACCCACTCTATTCCCCAAGACAGCATCCCTCAGATCTTGCCCTTCCCCAGCCAAACAAAACTTTAATGGATAGTGCTTTAATACAAACATTGTGGATTTTTAAGAAATTTAAATGCTATTTAAGTAAATAGGATTGAGAAAAGGGGGGATTTTCTTCCACTCTTGGTAGAAAAATTATTCATTGCCTCCTGCTATTAGAAGTCATTTGTTGTTTCAGTCAATACTGCCTGGGGCAGGCCTGGGCTTTATTTGCCTTCTCTGTGTTTGAGTCCCGAAATGAGGTTATCGATTTATGATCAGTGTAGCTCCTGGCTGACTCCTGGGTGTTATGATACGCTAACACAGGGTCTTCAGGAAATCACCTGCTACCCCTCAAGGCAGGATCGACTTCTTGTTCATTTTTGTGTCACTCCAGTATCCAATACATAATAAACAATAATAAATATATGCTGGCGAGTGACTGGATTCATAATTATTCTTTGGGTATAGATTTTAAGTTTCTAAAGGACAAAGACTCTACCACCTTATATAGTGCTAACCCTGAATAATACGGAAATGATCCAGTGAACGAACTATTTATAGTTTTAAGATACATGGTAAAAATGATTTATGTATTTCTGAAGTCATATGCATGAAAATAAAAGCTTTGCCTGTAACAAAAATTTGTTTCAAACCCCATGAATCCTATTTCTTAAAAAACCAACCTCTTTCTAATTCATTAACTAGTGATTTGGCTCTTTTCACTTCCTCAGCAACACAAAAGAGTTTTGAGTTCTCTCATATTCCCCACTGTAAACCTTCATCACCTCAAATATAATTGACTCCTAGGAAAATGGGTCTTAGAAAAATAAAAGACAACATATATTTCTCCAGGACAAAAGTTAAAAGATTTCTGCTATTTTGTTTAACTGTAAAGGGCTCAATATTATGCCATTCAGAGGAGGTTTCACACTAACAAGTGTGAATGGGGTGGGAGAAGGCAATCCCAGCTCACCTGGAACTAAGATCCAGATACATCTGGCTTTTAGCTTTAGAAGAAACTCCTGTCCATTAAGCTGTTCCTATCCACCAGGTGATTTCTATGGGGGATGAGGACTCTCCTAAAAAACTTCAAACCTCATTCCCACCTGGGGATCAATTGCATACAGAAATGCATAGAGGACTAGGGGTGGTAGGGAGAGAAGGATGTCTAGTGTTGGGAGGATTTTGCAGAATTTCCCAGGGGAAGTATTCCAGAGAGAAATGTGACAGGCATGACAAGCCTGCCTCAACCATGGAACAAAGAGTGAGGAGTGAGAGGGATCCACCAAGTACCAACGCCAGCCCTACTGCCGCCCCCAACAGCCCCACCCCCAGAGCTGTTCCCTGCATTTCTGAGGGGCCCATTTTACTGGGTGTAACTGGAAACCAGGAAGCTGTTCCTTTCTCATTTCCCAGAAGACCGCCACCTTGCAGGCCATGAGCATGGAGGGCTTTGGGGCCAGGCTGCTGGGCAAGGATCTACACCTCAGATGGGTAAAAGGTGGTGGGGAGAGCAGGAGGGATTGCTGGCCAGGGGAGCCCCTAGGATTGGATCTGTGAGGGCACATAATTTACCAATTGTGGCCCACAGAAATACCTGAGGTGGACTTGGCAGGGAATGACATGCTTGAGTGAGTGGAGCTTATGGTCAGCAAAATATGTCTTTATCCACTACAAAATTCAAGTTTAAAGGCGAAAGCACCTGTACCTGCATGCCAGAGAAACCTGAGAGGATTTAGTTTATAAATTCCTCTGTAAGATAAAGCAGAAATAAAGTTATAAATTACCATATATTCTTGACTGGCATCATGCTTTATGGTTTCACAAACCATGTCTCATTTCTTTCTTAGAATAACTCTGTGAGGAAAACAGAATAGGCATTATCCCTATCCAGCAGATGAAGAAACTGAGGGTCAGAGAAGCCCAGAGATTCGACCTCGATCATACAGCTCATATAACTCCAGTGGCCATATAGTTCCACAAATCAAGAATCTCCGTGTGTTATTCATTCATTGAACCTCAAAGTACTAAGAACATGTCCTAGGAGTTCATGATAAACCATGATCTTACTGTAGGGGGCTAGTTGGAGGAAAGGTGAGCCTGTCATTCCAACAGATGTGTGCAGGGACAAACTCATCCTGGCGCTTACTGCTCTCCCAAAGTAGTTTGTGATGGTGTCTTTCCCTGTCCTTTGCTTCCATTGTCTCCTGACTCTACTTCTCCTCCTCCTGCTCTCTCCAGACAGGCACAAAGGCTGTCCTGCAGTGGCTGGTGCTGGGAGCATAGTGGTTACGTGGAGAAGGAGGAGAGAGAGGAGACATAGAAGGGAAGGATATGAGAAGAGGCTGAGAGCAGGGTGGACGTGGCCTCAACCTACCTCTCCTCACTCTATGCTTGTTAAAAACATTCCCAGAATCATTCCCTCTTTAAAATCTCATTTAGCTGAAATGTAAATACAATTAACCAAATGCAGTAATGTGCTCACTGGATAAAGAAAGCCATAAGAGCTTTTTTATTTTATTTTTTTTTAAGTCAGCAAACAACACAACTCATCTGCACAGCCAGCCAAAACAAAACTCATGGGGTATAAGACCCCATCAACTTTTCAGATTAAGCGTGTTTTTAGTATTTTATTTTTGCCCGTTTTCAGAGCCCATTGCCCTTTCCCACATCTTCTGCATATTCCTGTGGAAGCCAGTCCACCCATACAGCACACCTGGGCCACGCAGGGGGCCGTGCAGGAAGCAATTGCATCACTCACCGTCCGGTCTGCCCCCAGTGCTCTCCTCAGGTCTGGAAGACACCACGGAGACGAAATACTTTCCAACTGATTTTTCTGTCTTAGAAAGAAAAGCAGAGAAAAGGAAGGTTGCCAGAGGCAGCGAGATAGGCAGAGACAGCTTGGCTCCTAAATACTGCAGCGAGAGGTTTACGTCAGGGTCAAGCAGAGCACTTCTTAGCTTCTGAACAAAAGAAAAAGTTGTCCCCATCCTGGCACTCCATGACCAGATGGAGGCCGCCTGTCTCTGCTCCCACGGTGCAGGCGATTGTACCCACCACGTAATAAAGGTCAGAGGTGCTGGTTACATAAGTCTGATTAAAGAGTCCAGGCAAGTACAGTGTGCTTTGAGGAGTGAATCAGAGCCAGCCCTCACCACAGCTATTCAACAAATTCTGTTCCTCAGAGATTTATGGAGTGCCTGCCACATGCAAGGCACTGTACCGTGAATTAAAATTTTAAAGGAATGCTCACAACTTCTATTACCTTTGATCGATACCCCTGGCCAGGTAGTTACTCTTGCTATCAAATGATGAGCTGGGGTCCAAAGTGGTTCTGTGACAGTGATGAGGTAGAAGGGTCACTGAGCCTAGCTGCCAGTCTCCCACTGTATGAGCTAGATGAGTCTTTCAACCACTTGGGCTCCAGTTCTTCAGTTATAAAGACGGGGGTTGACCAGTTGTCTCTGTCAAAGACTCCTTATAGTTTGTTTTTTATCCTTTGTAGTTCACATTACTGAGTACCTGTTATCTGAAGTGGGTATCCATTTTATACAAAGGGATATTCTAAGAGTCTAGATTTCTTAAGGTCCAATAGTCTCAAATCAATACCATACAAATTTTATATTTAATATATTCATATTAATTTATTCATATAGAATAAATAAAGGAAAAGTGAACAATGCTTTCTTCCTTTCCATCAATTGGCATTTCTTTAGGCCAAAACTGTGTCTCATTTCACTCCTTGTTTTCAGTTTTACAGGGAATGTGGGGTCCTAGCTAGAGAATCAAGACTTGCAGAGTAATTTTTTATTGTTGTCATTTTTCGTTCTAATGTAAAAAATTAGTTGCCGAGAGAATATACTTTGTAGTTCCTCCTAGGAGTGACTCAGAAGGTAATGCAGGCTTTCCACAAGTAGGAAACTAAAGTTCACCCTTTTAAAAATCCATTGTCAACAAGGTTCGGGATACATATATATATAGTTCTCAGCTGTTACCATACATTTGTGTTGTGGTTTGCATTTGTAAAGGATTTTATAATTATTTAGCTGACTCTGGTGATAACCTTCTAAATTAAAACTCAGCCTCAGTAATGGATGTTTTGACTACACTTGCCAAGTCCACTAGCAGGAAATGAGTGAAGACGTCTGGTTTGGAAAGAACCTTTCTGTGTGTTTCTAGCAAGTAAACTGTCATCACGTTTAATTGAGATTTGAGAAATGGGAGGCGAAACAGCAGTGAACGATGGTATTTGCAAATTAGTTGAAGCCAAGCGAATTTTTGCCTGGAGTGTTCAGACTGAAAAAATAAATATAAAGAAAATCAATGATAGTGGAGAGAATCTTTCTTGCTTTCTTGTTGATTTTCTGTGAATTAAAATGTTCATATTTGATTCCGCTTGAAAGTTCCTGTCTTTTTTGACCCTTTAAGGGAATTTGTCAAATTTGAAATAAGATGTAGATATAAGATAAGATGTAGTAGAAACAATCTTTGACCTCACCACGCTGATCAAGGTAATGGCTCAACCTGTATCTTCTCCTTCTCAGCCCCTAATATAGATTTCTTCTTTTCCTGAGAATTATTTCAAATGCTTCCAAAGGTGGGGGGAAAAGCTTTTCAATTTTCCTCACTTTCAACTGGGATGTGGGCAAAAGCATCAATACCCATTTCTGCCAGTAATTGACACTCATGCTTATCAAGGAGCCTGCCCGGAGCTCTGTTCTCAGCACATTCTTGTGGTTTTATAAAATTCAAGTATGTGAGGTCAGTGCAAAGGTAACAAGCTTTGAAAGAGTATTAGAGAACAAAGGCTGTATTTAGACATAATCACCTCTAACGTGTATGTCTAGCAATCTGAATTATAGATCAGTTCTCTCTATCCCAAGTGTAACATATGTTTAATTTAAATTTTTAGAGAAGTTGTCATATACTTAATATTAATCTCTTTTTAAGAAAATATTTCATATTTTCTGAATAACACACTAGAGTCTATTTTGGCTTAATAATTACTTAAAATCAGACAAACTTTATTTCTATTTGGCAATGATTAAAAACCTGCTTTTCTCTTTACCATTGCAATTTTGTAAAGGATATGTACACATGTAATACACACATATATAAAGGTTAAAATTTTTTCTGACCATTCTAAAATTTTCTCTGATCATTCACTACTTCAGTAAGTTTTAATAAATATTAAGCTTCAACAAATAATGGAATTTTTTTTCCCATGCCTAATTTGTTCTTGATTCCAATGGTAAATAAGGCAAAAAAGAGAAGATAATCCTTGTCATAAATGACAATTGATCTAACATTTCTTTTTCTTTCTCTCTTTCCAAAGTCTGTGGCTAGATTCTAGACAGGGCTGCATGGATAGTACTTTGATCAAAATTTTCACTGTGATTCTATTCAACCCTTTCAGCTTGACATGGGGTACATATCTTTATAAATCAAAATATGTTCCCATTCAAAATTAGGTTTATTTCCAGTGCTGATATAAAAAGCCTCAAAATTTTCAGTGCAATTTTCAGCCACGGAGCTTCAAGAAACATTCCTAAGGATGTGTGCCATCTCAGGTATGTGGACTAGTCATTCCTCCTACCTTCAACAGTAACAAAAAAAGAAAAGAGGATTTCAAAAAAAAATTGAACAGGTCTCATTTTTACATGTCAAAAGTAATTTTTAGTCCCTGAAAATGCTTTGAAAATGGTCTAGGCTTTAAATGACCATAATTCTAACCCACCCCAGGTAAGAAAAGAAAAGCAAACGAGAAAGGAATTATAAAAATCTTGGTGTAGTATAATCTTACTTTGTGTTACCTCAGTTACTGCCAATTCCTGCATGACTTCCCAGCACCTCTGCATTACTCCTTCCCTATTCTTCTCTAATATGTTTCACATTGATTTTTTTTCTATTTTCTGCTGACTGCACAGTCTGAAATGCTTTGACCTTAAAGTCAAGGTCAAGTTTGCATTCCTGGAGTAAACAAGAAAGAAAGATGGAGAAGAGGAGAACTCAAAACAAAACCATCTAACCAAGAAAAATTATGGAGCCAAAATATGTCTTCTAAAAAAAAAAAAGAAAAAGAAAACAATGTCTGTCTTCTGGGATTTCTTTTTCTTCTATATTTGGCATTCAAGGTCAGGAACATTAATATATGCTGCCAGTGAAAGGAGTGAAATTTTCCCCCAAGGATTATTTGTAAAGGAACTAGTCTGGCATTAAATATTCTTATCACTATGTAGAATAATAGATGGGCTAGAATGAAATTTCCAACCACATTATTATGATCAGGTACCATACCAGAAAAACAAGAATCAAACATTATGGCTCCAAGAAAAGTTTAAATAAATTAGTGATGGAAAAAATATGCTAAAAAAGCCATAAGTTTGAATAATCTTCTAGAATTGTTGCAGGTTTTATAGACTTCGTCTCTGTCTTAGGGCATAACTACAATAATTTGACAGTTAACCACTTAAAAAGATAGTATTTCTTGAAATATTCATAACTTTCCATTTATAGCAGAGGCAGAGAAACAACCACACTCATAAAAACATATTTCTTCCTGTCCTATCCTAGTCTGAAGCAAAGCTTCCACACAACTTAAGAAGGCATTTTAAACCTTCAGTATGACACATCTAACGTGAACATGGTTGTCCCACACATTTAACTCAGTTGGATATCTGGGAGATCTACTTTTTTATAAAGGCCCTCCACTGAAATATCGTGTCTCCTTAGGCCTTTCAATTTAAAGTCAGGATACACATAAACCTTTTCCTTACCTGTGTCTTAATTGTGCGATGATATGATGTGACATCATCCAGAGTAGTTTTAGTAACTGGTTTGCATTTGCGTGGACTGCCGAGTTCAGCTTAGACATACATTCCTGTCATACAGTGAGTCATAGATCTCTATCCATGAAAAGCACGTTTTCACGAGGGTTAGAAACCCATGTGATCTTTAGTGAACAATATTGGGGCCTACCCAGCATCCATTCCCTCTTCTTCCTTTTTTAAGCAGAATCTAATTTTGTCTAAATATCTACCTTTCCTCTTTATAAGCATGAACCCCAATTCCAGGGTCAGCCTCAATAAAATGTGGATAATTCTATTTTCTTTTCTAGAAATTGATTCAGGAATGGGGATGTGATCCAACTTTGGACAAGGAGATGCTGTTAGGGGGATTCTAGAAAAAGAGAGAAGCCTGAGAGTCTCTTTCTTCCACTTCTGGGTATTATTGCCCATAAATGTGCTGCTTAGGACTGACACAGCCTTCTTACTACCAGTCTGAAGATGAAACAAACTCAAAGGATAGAAGATTGGAGAAAAGCTTAAAAAAAAAAAAAAAAGAAATGATATCCTTGAGGCACAGTATCAACCAGCTCTGAGGCCCAGCCTACTAAGGATTTGGCAGTGTGAGATAGTATTATTATTATTGTCAGTTAAGACATTTGGCATCTGGGTTTTTGTTATTTGCAGCCAGTAGCACACTAACCAATTTCTCTTGGCTTCCTTCAATTGTTTCTCACTCCTGAGCTTATGCCTTTCAGAAGAAGAGAGATTTCAAAGCTACTGGTTTACCCTCTTATTTATCCTGAAACTTTCTTCTACAAACGTAGGGAACAAGATAAACTTACAGAAAGTAAAACAAGATGTTTTAACAATATGGAAACATTAATATCTGAAATGTATGTTGGAGTTTTTGCTTGACATTTCCTGGCAATGTTTCCAGCCAGTGTCAGGCTGCTGAGTAAAGATGGGAAGGACAGAGAATTCAAATGGCCATCATCTATGCAACATGAGCTCACCCAGATATCAGTTTATTAAGTCAGATAGTCATGACAGGGGACAAACAAAATTCCAATTTCTCTCCACAACCTTTCTCAAACCTGCTTTCAGGTTTTTCTTCCCTACCCTTCAGTGACATCTTGGGCAGATCCCACAGCTTTTTGCTTACTTTCAGGTACTGTAGAACTTTTTGGTAACTAAAAATGTCCAATCCAATCAAATATCAAAACTTCAGTCTCTCCTCCAATTCAAAGCTTCTCTCTTTCTTGCCCGCTCAGGTCTGTTGGTGGGTCTTTCTTTATTGTCAAATGCCCCCTTCTAGGACAGATGTTCAAAACATCTGGGACTCACACACAGCATTTCCTGCTACTTGTAAAACATTCTCTGGCTGATCTCTTGCAAGACGCTTAACTCCTGCTCCTGGAGAGTCCTTGGGATCCCTTCACTCCAGCAAGCATCCCTCTTGTGTGAGCTCCTCTCGAGATAACGTGCTATCTTGCACGGCATCCACTTGTCCCACGGGAAAAGGAACTCATCCTTCCTCACTATGTTCTCAAACTTCAGGCACAGTTGCCTTCCAGCGTCTCTTTGCCACTTTGTATATCTTCAACCCTCCTTATGCCTTCTGATTTCTCCTGAAAACAATCAGGCACCAGTCCCTATGCTGCCCAAACTCCAGAGCTAGTGGTCAAATGCTATAGCCACTAACCATGTGGCTTTTAGCACTTGAAATGAGGCTAGTCCAAACTGAGATCTCAAAGACTTAACACACCTAGTACAATACATCGAGTCTCAAGGACTTACTTCTAACAAATAAAAGTAAAATATCTCATTGCTAATTTTTATATGGATTTTATTTTGGATATGTTGGTTTATCAAAAAAATATTATTAGGATTGATATCATCTGCTTCCTTTTACTTTCTTTAAAATGTGGCTACTAGAGAAAATTAAATTATAGTGTGGCTCACCTGATTTCTCTCAGTTGGCACTGCCCTAGAGGCTTGCGACTCCAAGTGTGCTCCTGACCGGCATTGGTATCACCCAGGAGCCTCTTGGAAATAAAGATGCTCAGGCTTACTGTGGAGCTCAGAACAGGCACCCCCACCAGATGTCCAGGAAAGCTCTGATCTAGAGCAGCGCTACTTCACCCAGGGCTGTATCCTCCATGCTGATCCTTGGACACTCTGTTACCAATTTGTGACAAAATAAGTACAGACATTAAGTGTACTGCGTAGAAATTTTTACAGCAATTTTATGTTACCATATAAGGTGTGATCAGCGAAGATTTTTAATTTCATTTTTCTAGAAATTCGGTCTTACTCAGGTTTACCCAAGTATCAGTCCATTGTGAAGCATTGCTCTGGAGAAAACAATTCAAACTCTCCCAAGAAATTTCCCACACCACTAAGACAGCATCTTCCCTGCTAGAAAGCATCCTTTTCCTCGCAACCTTTTCTCGAAGGTGTTTCCTGCAGTCTCCTCCCTTGACTTGAGATGAGGTCATGTAGCTGCTTGCCCTTCCATGCCACGGTGCTCTCTATTCCTACAAATCCCCTTGAAGAAATTACCCTCTAATGAATCTCCAGGCTGTTAAATGTGTTCTTGGAAGTGACAATAGTTGACAGTGGGGCCACGTCTTCACACCTCCTATGAGGAACATATCTAGTGCCTCCTTTTAGAATGTGAAGCAACCGTCACTAACTATGCTCAGTTTTAGACTTTAACCCAAATTCCAAAGCAATGAGAAAATTCCCATTCCATAGCCTATCAAATTCTCTGGGGAACTTATTTTGGGTTTTGGCAATTTCTGGTTTTTTCCTATTGAAACACTGTTCCAATTTTCTCATATTGGTTGAAGTAGTCATGGCAATCAACCCCACTTTAAAAGTTTTATTTGGAATAATATATAATCTTTCTGAAATATTATATGCCATGCTTCTTCTAAAGTTTAGGGAAAATCTTGTAGGCATGCCCAACACATTCTATTAAGATACCGATATATTTAACTTTGTACATATCACATATTCCTGGCAAATGGGCATTTTAAACCTCTTTTTGGTCAATTTAATGTCTACAAGCAGTTCACCATTTAAAGCAATCTTATGGCTTATTTTGTAAAACAAAGACTCCTTTATTAAATGAAGAATCACCTCCTAATTTTCTATTTTAACATAAACACAGATTTCCATACGCCAATTTACTTCAAGAAGAATGCACCTGAGCTTTCATTTATATATATTTTAATATTTTATTAATGAATTTTCATATTAAGTGGAAACCACATTAAAAAATAAACCTGAAAATTCCATAATTTCCTTACGGCCTTTTTAGAGCTTTGCTTCTTGCCATGACACTTTCAATACATTCATAGGTATAAGCAATTCAATTCAATTTATTAAAATCCAATGGATATTTATTGAATCTTTAATATGCACTAGTCACACTACTAAATTCCAAGGGTACAAAAATGAATAAAACATGGTCCTTCCCTTGTGGAACTCAGAGTCTGGTAGACGAGACAGACTCCCACACAGACAATACTACACAATGTCAGGAACTGGAAGACAGCATTGCAGGCAGGATTCTGTGGGAGTAGAAAGAAGGGACCCTCAGCTCTGGAGGAGATTCAGGAAAGGTTTCCTTCAGAAGATGATGCCTGAGCTAGAAATAGACAGAGTCATAATAGGATTTTCAAGTAAAAAAGAAAAAATGTTTGAAAAGCATTCAGGACAGAGAATACTACATGATCAAATACCCAAAAAGCACAAAACAGAGCCCCAGAATTTTAGAGCTAAGTAGGACAAACTGAGGCAGGAGATCAGAGAGAAGCCAAGAGCATGAACAGGACTTAACAGGCATCACAAGCCGTGAAAGTGGCTCAAGCTCCTAACGTTGTAGTTGTCAGTTCATTTCTTTTCTGGTTTAATTTTGCATTGATTTCCATAGAAGATCTTTAATATCAATCTCTGCTGAATTCAAGGCCACAGATAAAAATCAGAGAGAATGATGGTGTCAGTGAAACAAGCAATAAATAAAAAATAGAGGCAGGAATATTCTCCAGTTCCATTCATCAATAATGATAATTGCCTTAACTTTTGGGCACTTAGCATTTTACAAGACCCTTTCTCAAGTGACGTTTCATCTTCTACAGTGACTTTATGACAAACATAAAGTGGAGTGGATATCATTGTTTCATTTACAGGTGAGGAAATTGAAACCAAGACAGTCATACCAGTAGCAAGTGGCAGAGGTAGAAGGTGGGACCAGGTCAAGTGGCAAATTCTTTGGTCTTCTTCACCATGAGATGGAATCTATGCTAATGAAATTCCTTGCCAAGTTTAAGAATGACCATTGATAGTGAATACTGTAGGTAACATTAGCTTACCACAGAGGTTTTTTGTAAATTTGTCTGAACTATGTTTGCCAAGCTTCCTATGTAAATGATGCCATTAATAGAGATTAAAAGCTAATAATTTATTGAGTACCAGAAAGTGATTGACTTTTAATTTTTTTTCCTTTCCATTGCAAGCATTTTAATCTACAAATTTCCCTCTAGGAACCACTGTAGCTGCATCTCACAAATTTTGATATGTGGTGTTTTTTATTATCATTTTGTTCAAAATATTTTCTGATTTCTCTTGTGGGTACTTCTTCAATCCATGGGATATTTGGAAGTGTGTTGTTTAATTTCCAAATATGTGAAAGTTTCCTTGATGTGTTGTTTTCGATTTCTAATTTAGTTACACTAGTTAGGATACATGATCTGTAAGATTTTAGTCATTTTAAATTGATTGAGATTTATGTTTTGGTCTAGGTGACTATACCACGAGTAGTTGAAAGGAATGTGTTTTCTGCAATCACTGAGTGTAGTGTTCTATAAATAGTGATTAGGTTCAGGTGGTTGATAACGTTCTTCAGATCTTCTGTATCTATACAGACATACTTCATCTTATTATGCTTGACTTTATTGTGCTTCACAGATACTGCATTTTCTACAAATCAAAGGTTTGTGGCAACCCTGCATTGAGCAAGTCTTCTGGTCCCATTTTTCCAACAGGATTTGCTCACTTCATGTCTCTGTGTCACACTTTTGTAATGCTCACAATATTTCAAACTTTTTCATTATTATTATATTTGTTATGGTGATCTGTGGTCAATGACCTTTGATGTTACTATTGTAATTGTCTTGGGGCACCATGAACCACACCCATTTGAAACGGTAAACTTAATCAATAAATGTTGTATAAGTTCTGACTGCTCCACCACCAGGCTGTTCCCCCATCTCTCTCCCTCTCTTCAGGCCTCCCTGTTCCATGGGACACAATAATATTGAAATTAGGCCAATTAATAACCCTACAGTGGCCTCTAAGTGTTCAAGTGAAAGGAAGAGTCATATGTCTCTCATTTTAAATCAAAAGCCAGAAATGATTAAGCCTAATGAGGAAGGCATGTCAAAAGCCGAGATAGGCTAAAAGCTAGGTTTCTTGTGCCAAACAGTTAGCCAAGCTGTCAGTACAAAGGAAAAGTTATTGTAGGAAATTAAAAGTGCTACTCCAGTCAACACACAAATGATAAGAAAGCAGAACAGCCTTATTGCTCATATGGAGATAGTCTCGGTGGTCTGGATAGAAGATCAAAACAGCCACAATATTTCCTTAAGCCAAAGCCTAATCCAGAGCAAGGCCCTAACTCTCTTCAGTTCTGTGGAGGCTGAGAGAGGTGAGGAAGCTGCAGAAGAAAACTCTGAAGCAGCAGAGGTTGGTTCATGAGGTTTAAGGAAAGAAGCTGTCTCCATAACATAAAAGTGCAAGGTTGAGCAGCAAATGCTGATGTAGAAGCTGCAGCAAGCTATGCCGAAGATCAAGCTAACATAATTAATGAGGGTTGCTACACTAAACAACAGATTTTCAATGTAGATGAAACAGGCTTCTACTGGAAGAAGAGGCCATCTAGGACTTTCATAGCTACAGAGGAGAAGTCAGTGCCTGGCTTCAAAGCTTCACAGGAAAGACTGGCTCTCTCGTTAGGGGCTAATGCAGCTGGTGACTTTAAGTTGAAACCAATGCTCATTTCCCATTCCAAAAATCCTAGGGCCCTTAAGAATTAGGCTAAATCTGCTTTGCCTGTGCTCCATAAAGGGACAACAAAGCCTGAATGACAGCACATCTGTTTTCAACATGGTTTACTGAATAATTTAAGCCCACTGTTGAGACCTACTGCTCAGAAGAAAAGATTCTTTTCAAAATATTGCTACTCCTTGCCAATGCACCTAGTCACCCAAGAGCTCTGATGGAGATGTACAATGAGGTTAACGTTTTCATGCCTGCTAACACAACATCCATTCTGCAGCCCATGGATCAAGGAGTAATTTTGACTTTCAAGTCTTTTTAATTAAGAAATACATTTCATAAGGCTATAGCAGCCATAGATAATGATTCCTTCGATGGATCTGGGCAAAGTAAATTGAAAGCCTTCTGGAAAGGATTCACCCTTCTAGATGCCATTAAGAACATTCATGATTCTTGGGAAGAGGTCAAAATATTAACATTAACAGGACTTTGAAAGAAGTTGATTCCAACCCTCATGGATGACTTTGACAGGCTTAAGACTTCATTGAAGGAAGTAACTGCAGACACAGTGGAAATAGCAAGAGACCTAGAATTAGAAGTGAGCCTGAAGATGTGGCTGAATTGCTGAATCTCATAATAAAAACTTAACAGATGAGGAGTTGTTCCTTATGGATGAGCAAAGAAAGTGGTTGCTTGATATAGAATCTACTCCTGGTGAAGATACTGTGAAGATTGTTTAAATGACAACAAAAGATTTAGAATATTACATAAAGTTAGTTGATAAAGCAGTGGCCGGGTTTGAGAGAATTGCCCCCAATTTTGAAAGAATTTCTACAGTGGGTGAAATGCTGTCAAACAGCATCTCCTGCTACAGAGAAAACGTCTGTGAAAGGAAGAGTCAATCAGTGTGGCAGACTTCATTGTTGTCTTTTTTTTTTTTTAGATTGGCACCTGGGCTAACAACTGTTGCCAATCTTCCTTTTTTTTTTTTTCCTGCTTTATCTCCCCAAACCCCCCTGTACACAGTTGTATATCTTAGTTGCAGGTCCTTCTAGTTGTGGGATGTGGGATGCCGTCTCAACATGGCCTGACAAGCAGTGCCATGTCCGCGCCCAGGATCCGAACTCTGGGCCGCCACAGCGGAGCGCGCGAACTTAACCACTCGGCCGTGGAACCAGCCCCTATTGTTGTCTTATTTTAAGAAATTACCACAGCCACCCCAACCTTCAGCACCCACCACCCTGGCCAGTCAGCGGCCATCAACACCAAGGCAAGACCCTCCACCAGCAAAAAGATTACAACTCGCTGAAGTTGGATGAAGTTGGATGATCCTTAGCAATTTTTAGCAATAAAATAATTTTAACTAAGATATGTACATTTTTTAGACATAATGTTATTGCACACTTAATAGGCTACTGTGTAGTGTAAACATCACTTTTATATGGACTGTGAAACCAAAAAATTCGTGTGACTCACTTTATTATGATACACACTTTATTGCAGTGGTCTGGAACCAAACCCACAATATCTCCAAGGTATGCCTGTATTCTTCTTGAATTTTTTGTCAGCTTATTCTCTCATTTACCGAGAAAAGAATTCTAAAATAACTAACTGAAATTACAGATTTGTCTATTTCCCCTATAGTTCTGTCAGATTTTTATTTCACGTATTTTTAAGTTCTCTGGTTAGGTGTCTATACGTTTGAGATTTTTATGCCTTACTGATGAAAGTACTCATTTTCTCACTTGAAAGTATTCTGTTTACCTCTGGTAATACTCCCTGATCTGAAAGTTGAATTTGTCTGATATTAATGTAGCCACAGCAGCCTACTTCTGCTTACTTTGGCGTGGATTACCTTTTACCATCCTTTTACTTTCACTCTGTGCCATTGCATTTAAAGGGCATCCATTGACCTCCAGATTCTACTTAAGATAGAGAGTTTGACGGAGTATTGCTTCCATCCTTACCACCGAGACAACAATAACAGCAACAAAGGATGTGTTTTTCCTTTCCATGCTATTCGTTCAGTCTCATAGATCTGGTTTCTTTTCCCTTCACCTGGAAGCACTTCCTTTAGCCTTTCTTGTAGCTTAGTTCTATGGCAGCAAATTCTCCCATCTTTTGCTTTGTGAAAATATCTTGTAATGCAGTCAGCTGAAGTTGAATTCTCTCAGCCTTTGTTTATGTGAAATGTTTCAATTTTACCTTCACTTCTGAAGGCTATTGTATTAGTTTTCTGTTACTACCATAACAAATTACCACAAACTTAGTGGCTTAAAACAACAAAAATTTATTATCTTGCAGTTCTTAAGTCCAACATGGGTCTTACTGGGCTAAAATCAAGGTGTCAGCAGGGCTGCGTTCTTTCTAGAAGCTCTAGGAAAGAATTCATTTCCTTGCCTTTTCAAGCTTCTAGAGGGTGCCTGCATTCCTCGGCTCATGACCATCTTCAAAGCCAGCAGTGAGCATCTCTCTGATCCTACTTCCAAAGTCATATCTCCCTCTGACCACACCTGGGGAAAATTCTCTGCTTTTAAAGATTATGATGATATTTCGTTATACGTGATTATATTTGGCTTACCCAAATAATTCAGAACAATCTCCCCCCATCTCAAAGTGTGTAACCTTAATCATATCTGCAAAGTCCCTTTTGTCACATAAGGTAACATAGTCACAGGGTTTGGGGATTAGGCTATGGTTATTTGGGGGGAGGGGGTTTTATTCCACCTACCACAATTTTGATCTGAATATAGAATTCTAGACTCACAGATTTTTCCCTCTTTCAACATCTTTGCAATGTCATTTCGTTGTTTCCAAGCCTCCATGTTCTGATGAAAAAGCAGCTATCATTTGTATCACCATTCTCCAATACTAATAATATTTTTTTCTCTTTATCTTTGTTTTTCATCAGGCTGAACACAATACTCCTACGTATGGTTTTATTTGTAGCTATCCTAACAGGATTTGTTCAGCTTCTTAGATTTGTAAATTGATATGTCTCTTACAATTGGGGGAATTTTTTGCCATTACTTCTTCAAATATGTTTTCTACTCAATTCCTTTTTGCTTCTTTCTCTGGGATTCGAATATACGGAATATTGACTGGTCTAATATTGAGACCAGGCACTGAGGTCACCACTCCACTCGGCTCCACCTCCCTGCACAGTGGCAAGAAAGAGCACCCAGGGGAAAGCTGGGCCGTGATGGGGCTAACTGCTCAGGGCCTGCAGTCCTTTACTGACTATTTTTCACTTCCTGGGAAAAGATGTCTCATGCATTTTGTTCAGTTTTATAGTTGTATTTGACAGAAGATCTAGATTGGTACAAGTTACTGTGTCGTGGATGAAAATAGAAGTTGCCAAAATTAGTTTTTAAAGAACAATTTACACCCTGATTTTAGAGTCAGAATAGGACATTTTTTCTCCCACATTGCTGCCTTGGTTCACTCAAGCAATCACTTCGTTTTGTAACACTGACAGGAAATGCCATAGATAAGTGTAGGGTGAGTATTAGTCTAAATATAGCAATTTCATGGCAATAAAACACAAATTTTTGATATATTTTATCCAACTGCACCATCAAAATTATTGCTCTTCTTTGTATTCCAAGAAAAATGATATTTTTACTAAAAATCTCTCATAAACAAATTTAGAAATAAACTGTTGGTCATTTCAACTGTAATTTGTATTTTTTGCTGCCAACCTAGCAAACAAACGTTTACTTCTTACTTTAACCAAAAGACAAATAAATAAAATGTAGGGCCTGTCTCTCAGATAGCTTGTGGACACAGTATGACGATTTTATGAAAAGAAATCAACAATACAGAGTGGATTTATCTAACTTACCAAGCACTATGCTACCCCCTCCCCCACTAAATGCTGTGCCCCTTGACTCAACGTGCAATGGGTGAGCACCTAGTTCTCCCAAAGCATAATTTTAGGGACCGTGGTGCGAACGTTACTGGGTTTCTGCCTCAGCCAAAGAACAGTCTTTGGAAACAAATCTTGATTCAGATACTGGCTCCATTGTCCAATACAACTGGGAATGCAACCTCCCGGAGCTTCCACTTTCATGTCTGTAATATTGGCCTGAACACAACTACCCTGGATGATTATCATATTTATCAGAGTTTAAACATAATGACTTCTGCACCATCTGGCACACAGTAGATGCTCTTTAAATGTCAAATCATCCTCTTATCCTTTACCCTGCCTTCTGCACACCTCTACCCGCTTCCTAGACACAGTCCCCTAGAAGACATGGTTAGAACAGTGAATTGTAATCTAGTCTCTGTTGCGTCCTAGCATTCCTCTTAAGTGGTTCTTGGGCCACTGGTATTGAGAGATGGCAGAGGATGGAGGTGCTGCTCAAACCTTTATCTCTTTTATAAATTGTGAAATATATATTATTTATATTAGCGTAAAATTTTCTTTGAACAATAGGTTCCAATATTTTCACTTTTTTATTTTTGAAAAACAGATTTAGAGAAATAGTAAGTCCTATATCCATTCCTCACTATTATCCACTTCTCTTTAGAAGAAAATACTTGTAGGAAATTTAGAGATAAGAGAAAAATAGTCCTCCTCCTCTTTTCCTCTGTTACAATCTTTCTAACTTCTACTCCCTGCGTGGACAAGAGGGCTCACAAAATCCTCCTGCTACCGTAGAAGATTTACAAAGTCTTCGCTTGGCTCCATTTGGAGTAAATAAAGGAGTAAAAATTACTACAAGAAGAGGAAGGCAAAAGATCAGACCATATTGCCCAGCACTAACAATAATCCAGTGTAATTGGATGGCCTGTCATGACTTTAAAGATGGCCATAGACATCATTTTGGATGAGCCCTGTAGCCAATATGACTGTGAAAAAATATAGAAAGCATTATTATCTCCGTTGAACAAATGGGGAAACAGGCTTAGTGGGATCAAGTACATAAAAAAAAAGAGAAAATAGAGGAAGGAAGGCAACCTTGCTTTCTCAAGAATGATATTCTATCTTTGGCATATCCACCAAAACATATGCCAATCAATTGAAGCATTATCAATACATTCTCAATACCAACAAAATGCTAGAAATAAGTATTTCTGAGAAGCAGTTCTTATATTTTAGTATCATTAGGCTGTAGCAAATACAGATCCTTCACTCAGTCTCTCTAGAATGAGAATTATTCACAACAAATCTTACCTTTAAATTCTTACTTAAAACATTTGAGTACCTTTCAATCGTATTTGTTGACACTCCTCTTGAGCTATTTTCCTTTTGTTTTTCTATGTAACTCATAGCCTATTGAGAAAAACAAATTTAAACCAAAATCCTTGATTTACCAAAGCAGGTAAAGAATAAAAAGCATATTGTTCAAATGACAACACTCAAACAAGCAAGAAACCTCAGTTAATGTTTAAAGAATGTTTATAAACTAAGAGGAAATGCTGTCTTTGGTGTGAAGAGGGGTTATTGAAATGATCTAATTTCAGACTAAGTACATGACTGAAGTTTTGGTCCAAGTTTATTGTAGTTTGGTATCTTTTTAATTAGGTGATTTTAAGTTTATAGTTTTGAATCATCTGGAAAAAAAAAATTGCAACATAATCTGTTTAGAGCCAAGGCATGCTGCTGACACATTCAAAAAGTCCTGAACCTTTTTATAAATAAACACTGCTAGTGTTTATTTCAAAACATCTGAGAACAAGGGAAATACAGTGACTCTCTGAACGTTTCAGTTTGGAACTGTTGGTGCTGATTCATCCTTTATCTGTGGATCCCTTCTGAGACACAATGGAGTATATTCAGGACCTGCCAAATAGACAGATATGAATAATTCTGGAAGAAGAATCACATTGCAAAATTTATTTTTTTTCCTACCTAAAACACTGCCAAAAAATGTGGAAAAATAATTTTCTCTATTACTGAGTATAGCGGTTTTTACTTTCAGTGCTCACATAAATAACTTTTTCAAAGAGAAAAGTTATTTCAATTGAATCTGGAATCTTACTTCATTTCTCTTATATTTAGAGAAGAAAAGATTTTTTCAGGCTTGCCAAAACTTTATAAATAGGGCTTATAAGACTAAATATTTCTCTCTTCTTCATAAAAACTGATTCAATGGTTTTCACCAAGTAAATGGAGCTGATGATTTTAACCTCATTGGCCAAATGGCTGGACACATCTTAGACTGGATCATAGGGAAAATAGAAAACATTTTTCTGTTTATTATGCATCATTTCACAGGAATAGATTACTAAAGTTGCAAAGTTTGCCAATCTATAATTAGTCATTTAAAAATATTTTGACATTTAAACATTTGTGTACAGTCTTACAAGTATTTTTAATGTTATTCCTCAGTATTTAATCAAATATTATGTCCACGTCCAGACTAAGCAGAAAATAACCTTCCACTCACCCGGAATTTTTTTCTCTTACCTAAGCTCTCCAAAATTATATGCATTGCTCTCAAAGCTTGAGACTTGACAATAACTGTGTGACTCTTTCTCATTTCTTCATTCAATCCAGTCTTTCTATAAACATTTGTTACCAGTTAGCATGTGATGGGTACCATACCAGGCCCTGGAGATGGAGAATGGGATATAATCATCGTCATCAAGATTGTCATTATCTGCCATACAGAGACAGACACATAAAGAAATAAATGTACATGATAAATGTGCAAGACATAATGGGGACCCAAACGAGAGACATTTTTGTTAGTACAGTCATTGACTCCAAATGTAGTAGACGGGTGGTTTTTTTTCTCAATTATTAAAAAGAAAATCATTCTTTTACCACTTTCTCAAAAAGATGATTTGAGTTAGAAATAAATTTGAAATATGACAAACTATAACAAACTTAGATTAAAATTTTAGTGCTAACTCATAACCTAATATCAGATTATTTATAACCTCTATTTTATGTGAAAATAACACCTCTTAGAGAAGATAAATTGATAAGCCAGTCTTTCATTTTTACAGTCCAGGATGGTATTGTTTGGGGCCAGTCTCACAAGTAAGAGTCAGGAAATTTGCCATAAGAAATAATAAGCTATGTCTAGAAGTTTAGAGAAGAGAGAGCCTGGAATAGCATTTCTGTCTAGAAAACAGAGATAAAAATCAAAGAATCAAAAAAAAGAATATTCAGTTCAAGTAACTGTAAACTGAATTTTCTTTTTTGCTAGCTAATTTTCTTTATATCAGATTACTAACTTTTTGTGAAACGTCCTAGATTGTCCTTCTATTTCCTTAATTTGTCTCAATTCATGGCTAAAGAGAAAAATAGAAGAGAAACTCATGTCATAGTATGACTCTTCAGATGTTAATTAAAAATCAGATATGAAAACTTTTTTCTGTCCAAACAGAATGTGTTTTCCTTTGGGTACTTTTTTGATGCTTAGTTCCTTCTTTCTGGTTTCAATAACAGGGATACAGTCTCAGTACATCAGAACATAAACATTCTTCCCACTAGAATAGCTACAATTAAAACCATTGACAATCCCAAGTGTTGGCAAGGATGGAGAGCATCTGGAACATTCTTACACTGGTGGAAGTGCAAAACAGTACAATCACTTTGGAAGATGCTTTGACAGTTTGTTAAAAAATTAAACACAACCTGTGACCCAGCAATTCCACTCTTAGGTATACAACCAAGAGAAATTAATGCTTATGTACATTAAAAAAGATTCTTTTAATAAGAATGTTTAGAGTAGTTTTATTCATAGCCTAAAATTAAAAGTCCAAATCTGGTTCATGAACTAGAGAACAGACAAATATCACATATATCCACATAACAGAACACCATCAGCTTAACAGCTAAACAAATTGAAAAGAACAAGCTACTAATGCACCAATAAAGATAAACTTCAAAAACTCTAAGTTGAGTGAAAGAAGTCAGAAAAAAATTATATACTGTATTATTTCATTTAGTTCAAGAAGAGATAAAACTAATCTATAGAGACAGAAGTCAGAATACCATTTTCTTCTAAGATGATGAGTTGCCTGGAAAGGGGCATGCTGGGACTGTCTTGGGTGACGGAAATGATTTATGTCTTTACCTGGAAGTGGTTACAAGAGGATATAGATATACTAGAAGTCATCAACTTGTAACTTGATTCCAGCATTTTACCATAGTCAATTACACTTTAATAAAATATTATTAAATATAAAATAATATCCTCTACTAACCTCTTGTTATAGTGTCTGGTGACTGTAAAACTCATAAATTTTTTTAAAGAGTATAACTTTTATATTTGAGAATATCTTAAAACATAACAACAAAATGTGACTAATATTTTAATCAAAGAATGTAAAATTTCTTCATGCCAGGCCAAGTCAATGACACAACTGAAAAAGCTCAGCTATGGCTACTTCCTCTTTGAAAAATAGATGGTGGAAAATTGGAAAAAGAATCAGTGTGAACATTAAGGTAAATGTTACTTTAACTGTTCAATTCCAACTTTGACTGAATTTACAGATAAACTGGTCTTGTTTTCAATCAGAGAAATTAGCTAATTTCACATATGTTAAGAAAAGTGACCCAAGATATCCAAGAAGAAAAAATGTCTGAGCCTCACATAATAATCTGAAGAGGTGAGTGGTGGCACTCAAATGTGGCCCTGAAGGACTGAGGAGCAGAGATGGATGACCAGCATATGGAACTTTAAGAGATTATCTGTGTCCACTTTGCCTGAAAAGAGAGTGCTTGAGGCAAGGAGCCATACTTATTAATGAGAAGACACTAATGGTACTGCTGGACTTTCAGTGACCTTAGAGAAGTAACATTGAAGGGCTGGTGACAAGGAGGTTTTATCTCCCCGTTAGATAAACTTTACTACTGGGATGTGGTAGTCTGCGTAGCAACCCAAGGTAATTCCTGCATTTCATCCATGCCGCCCACTGCAACTCTATTGTTCCCTGAAAATTCAGGTTGATTGTCCCAGGCAACAGTGAAACTCTTTTTTCCTTTTTTCTTTTCTTTTCTTTTCTTTTTTTGCTATTTTAACTAGTGGCATGAGAACCAGAAGTCCAGGCAGGGATTTCATCTTTCATGTGAGTGCCATCTTAATTCTGACTCCTACTGGCAGCATTCTTCCATTGGGTAGAAAGACCATTAAAATAAAGAACCCTGGTGTCACAGAGACAGAAAATAACAATTGGAAGTAGGTTATTAGGTGTTATCAGCAAACACATCACCCATTGCTCCATCTCTTGTTCCCAGATCTATCCCTTCTAGCTATGGGAAGAAAACATCCATATGACCACCACCCTGGGTCTAGTGCAGCACAAAGCTAGGCAGTTTAGTCAAAGCAATGAAAGAAAATGACTATGACTTGGGCAATGGAAGATGCAGCCAAGACCCCCACTTTTGGATCTTTCCTGGGCCCTGCGTTCCCATGTCACCGTGTTTGCCCATCACAGTCACACTGCGGTCCAACAGTCTGCTCTCCCTCCTGTTACAGCAAAAATAAGTCAATGGAGATAGAAAGGAAGCAGAGCAGCCTCAGTCTCTCTGCCAGGAGGAATCTGGAGGTAAAGCCAGGAATGAAAGAACAGTAGGGGTAGGAGCCCACATGGTATGTGGATAGCTACCACCTAACTTTCCAGAGGGAGAGGGGAATAGGCATTTAGTATTAAGCCTCTAGATGGGAGAATAAAGTGGAGACAAAATGAGCAGCAGTTTGGGTAAGGGATTGACTGAAAATTGTACAAAGAAACATCCTGCCCCAGAACCTGAAAGTAGGGGGTATGAGTCAAAGTATGCAGGGACTAGAGCCTCAGCATGACGTGATGGAAAGAAACCGTGGTCCAGAAGGAAAGTCTACCCTCACCTGTGCCGACTGCCCAGGGAAGTCCATCAGGACCATTTCCCATGATCCATCCTCGGATCCCACTCCACCTACACCAGCAACAAGCAGAGAAACTGAACAGCCCTCTGTTTTAATACAACCCACTCTCTGCTCTGTTCCAGCTTCTCATCTTCTCTCTGCCGAAATGCCGTTCCCCCAAATATCCATGTGGCTCATTCCTTCACTTCCTTAAGGCTCTGCTCAAATGTCACATTCCCAGAAAATTCTGCCCTGACCACCCTACTTAAAATTACAAAGCCCCTGACTCCCCCCTCCAAAAATATACACTTTGCATCCTTGATTCCCCGTACTCTGCTCCACTGTTTCCATAGCCCTTACCACATTCTAACATAGTGCACAATTTAGTTAATCTTGTTTATTTTCTTGTTTTTCATAAATATTTGTTGAACAATTTGATGAATAAATGAATGGATGTCATAGACTGTCAGCTCTGAAGTGACAGGGACTAACGTGCATTGATCTTTGTGTTCCTTGCAATTGGCACTGTACTTAACACACACTAGACTCTCAATTTATGCTTGTTAAATGAATGAATGTATGGAAGATTTAATCCCAAATTGAAATAGCTGAATTTGTATTCTAGATTGGAGCGAGATTCCTGTGGGATAGGTGGTAAATCAAAGGAAGGATGATATGATATAATAATACTAATAGTATTAATAGTAATAGTAAGAATAATAGCCAGTGGTAATGTCTGTCAGGCGTGTTGTTTGGTATAGATTATGTCTGTTCCTCACAATCACCCTGCAAGGGAAGTATTAACCTCTTCATCTTCCAGATGAAGGCAGTAGGGCTCAGAATGTTTTAACAACTACCTAGCATCACAGGGATGGCAAAGACAGCTGGGATTCAAAACTGGGACGGGCTGCACTGACCCTAAAACCAAGGCACTATTCCACATAATGCACATTTTGCTCCTCAACTATGGAAACTACACAACATTTTTCCTCTCTTCATAGATGTGCTGATAAAGGAGAAATAACGCAGGCAGCTTTTCCCACCTGGTTCTAAAGCATATTGGGGCCTTTGGAACATGGGCTATCTTCATATGAAAGCTTTGCTCTCCTCCAAGACTAAGTAAAATAAACATTACATTGAAAACTGAGGGAAGTTGAACTCCATGCGGCAATTCAAGAAAAGCTTCCTAGAGGGAAAGGTTATCAGGGAAGTGTTCAAAAGGGTGTTAGGAGATATAGAAGGAAAAAGGCAGCGCATCACCAGAAAAAGAAAAAATAGACTAAGCCCCATGGAACACAACGGTATTAACTGAAATGCAATCTTTGCACTATATATTAATTAATTTACCCACCTACCACATATAGGACAATTTTTAAGTTCAAGGTACTTTTCTGGGTACTGAACATACAGCAAAACAGTCAGAAAATTCCTTCCCTTACGGAGCTTCCATTCAAGTATGGAGAAAACACAGTAAAATTTAGGTGAAATATACAGCGTGTTATGGAGTTACTGCTAAGTAGAAAAGCAAAACCAAAAAAAGAGGTTGGAGTTTTGGGGATTGTATTTTAACAGGGTGCTATTTTAATACTATTTGAAGCTATCAAAGAAATTGATACATTTTGGTCAAAATTGCCAGATTTTGAAAACAATTCAACCTTGAGCTGTTTGGCTGGGGACGGTGTTCTCCGAATTTGATTGAAGCTGGCAGTTCACGAGGGCGGTGGGCTGGGTCTCTGGCTTGAGGATCTTCACGGATTGCTCCCAGCTGAGAATAGCAGCAGAGCTCCAGCCAATTTCCAGACTGGTGAGAATCTTGGGAAAAGAGATTTAAAAAATATTATGCCCCACGGAGTCCCCACAGTTGTTGAAGAATAATAGTGTCTCATTAGGCCTGCCAAAATTCTAGCCTGACCACTAAGGGTCATTATGGTCGCAGAGCACAGACCTGGGGTCACGAAAAGAAGTGGAATAAAATGCAGATCGTGAGCAAAGAGAGCAAAGAGCTTCATCATACTTGATAGGTCATTTCTAGAGAATTACACGATTAAGGAATGTGAGTGAGCAGAGTAGCTGATGTATAAGGACTTCAGAAAAACATCTTGTGTAGGCTTTAAAATTACTTAGAAGCTTAATAAAAATTGACATTTATATGGACACGATCTCATGGTTGAAAAGCCAGCTGAAAGACTTTGTAAAGGCTGTAAATAAATGAAAATAAATGGCTTGCAATTCATACTGGGAGGAGTTCTCAGGGTTGGCGTTTGAAGAGCTCTTATTTAGTGTGAGAGCTCGATGACTAAGCTATTACACGGGATAAATAGATTGGGAATGAAATGTGCAAATGAACTAAACTGGCAGGAGTCGTTAGAAAGGTGGGGAACCTTATACCATGGAGTTCTTTAGATTCAGATTTAGAAAAGGGCTGCTTCTGAACATCTGTTTCTCAGAATGCAAAGTGGTGTCATGTCAGCTGTAAAGCCAGGAACAGGCCACCCTCATGATTCATTCAAGAAGAGTGGCTGGTGCAGGAGGGGAGATGAAAGGCTCAGAGTTAGATCAGGTGAACTGATGATTAAGATGGAAATAATGCACAAATGCCCAAAAGATGTAAACACCAGGTAGGGTGTAAAATTACTTATCCCGATACCCTAGGGCAGAGTAACAGGAGAGAATTAAAGAAAGGATAATCACAGCCAAATTCTTTCTTTCAGAAATCATGGACTCACGTAGTCATTTAGACTCAGAAACAATTCTGTTCTACTGTGTATTCCTATTTCAAGACCCTGCTGAAATGTCACCATGTTTTGTGGCTTTCTTTGACTCCTCTCCTGCACCTCCAAGGCAGAATTAATCACTCTCTGAGTTATCTTTCCATGGCACTTAAGAAATGCTGCTATCATAGCACTAACCACACTGTGTTTAGTTATGTTTTAATCTCTATTAGGAGGATATGAGTTTCTTAAGGACCAGGTTTATGTCTTATTATATTTTATACCTCCAGCTCCTAGACTATAGATTGGTATATCAAATGTTTAGTGAATTGAATGGCACCCTTACACATTCACTTGGGATTTAATTACTAAAGTTATCATCTGTTACATTTGATAGGCCACACTGTGTGGAAAAAAATGAGAAAGCGCTTTAGGGACTAATATGAAAAGATTGTCAATATATCCATTGTAAGCAAAAAAGGCAAGGTGCCAAGCAGTTGTGCACAGCTTGAGGATATATTCATATTTGCTATTATTTTCATAAACAAAAGCTGAAGGAGACAAAAAAGTTACCCCCTAGTCACCTCTGCAGGTAGGGAGGAGAAAGCATGATGGGGACAGTGGTAAAAGCAAAATTTTTCACTGTATACATTTTTATACTGTTTTACTTTTTTAAAGTTTCGTTAATTATATATCACCTATTCAAAACATTTAAAAAAATTTTTCAATTAATCCTATGGAGAGTAAAAGGAACAGCAAAAATAATGACAAAAAAGTCTGCACAGGACTCTGATTAATTAGTTTAAGCAGAAAGATATTGCTATGTATTGGTTTGTTTGTTTGTTTGTTTTAACAAGTGAACTCAATTCTAGTACAATCCAAGTTCTTGGTGAAGAAATTAAAGGGAATTTTTATTTTCTCATGCAAGTCCTGTTAATCCCAAGTCTTTTGAAGAGCTCACTGGATAAAGATGACTGTTTCGTTCTCTTTCTGTTAATTGCACCAGTAAGGGTAGCATGCCTTAAGGACCCTCCATCTGTCACATTGAACCCAAGACAATTCCTTAACATATTGTTAGAAAATCAATATTTTAAATAATGAGATTTGGTCTGTCCTTGAAGTAGTGCTGGGTACTAAAATAAATTTATATAAGGTTTTCATTTGTCTAAATTAATTAGCAATTGCTTCTCTAACTGATTACTTTCAAGCAAAAAGCATAACATTAAAGAAAAATTATATGTATATTGAGTGGCACATGTCAAAGTATAATTTTTAAGAAGTTATAAGACAGAACACATATAAATATGAAATAAGCATGTGGTCAAGAGTTTTTCGATTCATTAATGAGACAACCAGCTGGACAGGAAAGATGGTTCAGAGGAGAAGTAAAGAATAGGGATTATCTAGGCGTGTGAGAAAAAAATGTTTGGATAAGGTGGGGTTAGATAGAGAGCTGGTTAATATATCTTACAGATCAATAAAACCATAACCTTTTGGGTTATCATTAGTATCAGGCAGAAACTATTTGTGTCTCTACCGGATAAAAATCTACCAACGAACATGCAAATTTGTGAAAAATGGACTTATGATCAATAGTGAGATATAATCAAACAAAAGTCTATTCCCCAGGATAACGAAATGATCTTTGAGCGGGCCTGTTAAACAAGGCTCTGATATGACATTGAAAGGGGCCATCCTCTCTTTGCCTTACTTCCAAGTTAGGCAGTGTTTCTTCACAACTGTTTGTGAAAGTAAAGCTAAAGCTCCTATCTTTGCCACCAGGCCTGAGGTGAAAAAGCAATTCAGAGACAGGGAACAGCGGTATATCGGCTATTTTAAGATGTAGATCTCTTCTAATAGGTTTCTTTCTACACAATAAGCTGAAAGAAAAAGAGAGAATTATTAATTAATGTATTTTGCATTATGGTCATGCTGGGGTGAGCAGAAGGTTGATACCACTAGTAAGGATGACAATAAATTTGACTTTATTCAGTGGTAAAATGCATCAAGAATCGTAACATTTATTTCTTGAGATGAGAAACATTCTAACTCACAAAACTACCATGAATGATAGAAGAACATTTTATGTTTGTGCAAACTGAGAATGCAACTTTAATACATGAAAATATCTCCACAAACGAGCCTTGTCTTTCCTTGTTAATTGAGAAGCTAAACTGCAAAACTTACAGTGTTGTTGCTCCTAAGTAAACTGTAGGTTGATCACCAGAAGATACATTTTTGATGCATTCAGCCCAGCCAGTCGGTTAAGTAAATTGTAAGCAAAATATTTGTGCAGCAAATGGCAAAGGCTCAGCTGGAGTTCTTTAGATAAAATAAAGGACCATAGAGAAGCCAGGAATATGCAATTCATGTTGACAAAAAGATAATTTTTCAAGGAACAATGCAATCTCTATTTTTTTGCAGAAACTAATACAAAACATAATTTCAAGGATCACTAAATGAAACTGTTTGGCTAACTTTCATAATAATAAATTAGTCTGGGAAAATTCTTAGAAATGCACAAACAACCTTTTCACCCTGGAAATCCATGGGCTAAGCCCAGAATAAGAACAATCTAATTATCTTTGTTCAAGACATTACTGATGTTTTTACATCCTTTCCTTTTTGCTTTGTATAATATCCTAAGGAATTTTATGTTGGAAAGTTTACAGTTGGCGTAAATATTTTTATACTTCCCCATCGGAATATCAGAGTCACTCTGCTTATATAGAAAATTTGCCTTAAAAAAAAAAGAAGAGTAGCTGGTTATTCAAATATTTCTCTTACAGTGGCCAGATGAGTTGGAAAAGAGAAAATGTTGTGAAGAGAAGCACATGCAATTTGAATTATTTGAAAGCCCTACAGCTACTATAGAAAAAAGAAATCTGGCCAAAATAGAAGTGTCTCCAATACAACATACTATTTTCTTCTGTATCCATTAAAAGCTGAAGGACTATTTGAGAAAAATAGGAACTGGATAAAAGACCGCTTAGCATCTTCAAAGTCATGTCATCATCCTTTGTATTTCTCTGTGCCTGAGGCAGACTTTTTCTTTGTTCTTTTCTCAACTAGTCTCTTAATCAAGCCTGAGGAGGAGAGACTTTACTTCCCCAGGAAGATAAAGCTGTTAATTAACTAGATTTGCCAAATAAGACTGGGAAAGTAAAGTATTGAGTAGGGGTCAAATTCAAATACTGCCAAGTCCTCCCTGTGACAGCAAGGCAGGGAAGTGTCAGTGTGAGAACCACAGGTGAGGAAATCTCCAAGGTTATTTTAACATGTGATTGTTAGCGATCAAAATCTAGGGTTCAGGTCTCTTTAGGGTATATGTTAGCAAATTAGATGTTTATTTATTTATTTTTTAATTCTTGATAAAGTCTCAGTACTTGGTCTTGATTTAAAAACAAAAAACAAGCAAGGAAAAATAACCTGTCTATAGAGAAACTACAAAGGACCCCCGAATCCCACATGGTAATTCTGGGGAAGAGGGATTTCCTCTCTTGCCCTGATCTGACCGGATGGAGACAGCCTTGGAGGAAGTAAACACTGGTTCAGGATAAAGAAGAAATAGGAAAGGAAAATTCCCCGAGAGAACTTTTATTCACAGAAGCAGATGTGGCTGAAAGCGGCCTCCGGCAGATCTTCAGTTTCAAAGAGGTAGCCGGGAGCTCAAAAGTTATCAGGGAAGTTCACAGAGGCAGAAAAGGCAATTCTTAGCCAGGAACCGGGGAGGAGAACGTGTAGAAGCTCACCAGAAAGGAAAATGTGGAAACACAGCCAAGTTTTCCCCTGTGCCCGAGGATTCTTACCTGCCGTTGAGTAGATTGAAACTAAGAGGTGGTGCTCAAAGGGCAGCCACATGCAGAGGAAAGTAGTTCTCCTGCTTGGCCAAATGAAAGTGTCAGATTTGGCTTGTGACCTTGAAGATGAAGAATTGAAAGTGTCCTAGACCATAAGAGGTTTAAGACAACGTTATACGATGTGGGAGAGAAAAGGTTCCCCAGCATAGAAAGGATCTGATGCATTCTTTAAACTCCCAGGCAGAGTAATTTTATCATTCTTATCTTAGTCTTCACCTATGAAATTTCATTCCTTTATCCTATTTAATGGTCCAGCACACTGTAGTGTTCAGCTAGAGGCAATGTGGTTTGGCTGTCAAGTCAAAGAAATAAAAACAGGGGTCAGATTCTTGCTCTGACTCTGCCTTTCAAAGGAATCTCAGGAAACCAAATCTTAAGCACTAAACCTCTTTTCCAAATACTAATCTTCTCCTATTTCCATAAATGGCCCACATTTTAAACAAGTATTTTGAATCCTCAGATTGAAAGATTTTAAACAAAGAGAAAAGACAGATTAAAAATTGTTTTCAGAATCCCTAAGGTGTGCTAAAGGGAAAAATGCATGGGGAAAGATTCTAAGAAAAATCAGATTAAAGTCTTTTGCCTTATTGAATCACTAATCTTGGGAAAACTGAGATTTCATAGTTGTTTTTTAGATGGAAAGAATGATCTTGGATCCTCTATACAGATTCTATTCACACTTTTTTAAGAAGGAGGAAAAAGAATTTATTCCAGCATATTGACTTTTCATATTTGTCTTCTGAAATCTGAAAGAGCCTTTGAGAAAAGTGCTGTTGTGTACCAGGAGGCTGAAATTTGCCTGAAGTGAGGAATTACATGGCTGTGGACAAAATTTGTGAATGAAGAAAAAATAGATATCTAAATACATAAAAAAAAACCAATTGAGTTTTTCAGGTTTCTTTGGTTTGGGGACAGAAGAGAAATATTTATTTTCTAATAAACTGTAGCTGTAAAGTAGATAATTCCATCAAGTTTTATCTAAATATAAAGATTGACTTTGAAAACACAAAAGAAGGAGGGGGAGAAGGAAGAGGGGCAGAAAGAAGGGGAGGAGAGAGAAGAGGAGGCATCCAAAGATTTTATTTTCAAAACAGACTATGTGATTGAATTCTAATTTTTCTTCCTTAACCCGGTTTTCACTGACATTGATATAACCAGAGGGTGAGAGCATGTAGTTTAAACATTGTTAATGAAGTGTATCATTATGTAAATCAGCCACTGGTTGACTGGGAAAAGTGTAGCTTGCAGTTATATCTGAGATGCCCACATATTTGGTGCATGCAAAGAGGGAAAGGGCACTATAATCTATAGAGCACTTCGCTTGGCGGGGGGTAGGGGGGCGTCCTTTACACAGGGGAGAGCATTTACCCTTACCCTAAGCTTATGAGGCTGTGATATCATCCCTGTTTTGAAGAGCAGTACACAGAGGCTCAAAGATCGTGATTCTCCCAGGTCTCATGGCCAAACAGAGGCAACCCACAATTCAAATAGGACTTGGCTTGAGGCCAGAACTTCCTCTCCTGTGCTGACGCTCTGCTGCCTTCACGGGCCTGACTGGCTTCCGGTGGGCATTTGACTTCATCCAAAGTTTGGTAAGATCAGCCCTCCACTGGCCGCATAATCAAAACAATTCTTAGAAAATACCAAAATTCTTGTATAATACCTAGAATTTTTATAAGATTTTTATGAAAGACTAAGAATTCTTATCAAATACACATCTTTTATGTGAAGGAAGTATACTAAGGGTCCTTGGTTCTCGACGGTCACTTGTACTGATAGAAATACCTTTCTACAAGGACTCTTGCTTCTTATTGTGACACATATAAAGCCTTCATTACATGGAGAGTAAATTTCAAGTCAAAGAACCAGTCCTGCGAACCAGATAGCCTTATATAGTTTAGTGTTGTTAAACCACCAATCAAAGGCTTGGTAAAAGCCACCAGAATGTTCTTTCCTGTCCTGCCCATTCTGTTGCTTATTCTGTTTTATTCCAAATTAATTCAGTTTGCTTACAATTCTTAGAGGTTTCGAAGAGTGGAAGTCACTCTTTTACTATAACTCAAAATCAAATGAAAAACTCCTGTAGGTCATCGGCAATGGTCTATTGTAAAAGACCAAAGAGAATCTGCATGAAATGTGAATATTTTTGAAGAGCGATAAGGAAAAATATTGATTCCACCCTAATATACAAGACTCATGGAGGAAAAAAAAGCATTTACCTATCCTCCAAAAAAAGAAGGAAAAAAAAAGCTATGTCTTCTTTATCTTCAAATCTAGAATGATGGCTGCTCTGTAGACAGCACTGAAGTCAGTCTCTTTCACTTAACACCGCCATCCATCTGTAGCCCCTGGACCAGCAGGAGCAGCATCACTGTAGAATTGATGAGAAGTGCAGAATGTCTCACTGCCCCCAGCACAGACCTGCTGAATCAGAGTCTGCACCTTAAGAAGCCCTCTCCTGGGGCTGGTCCAGTGGTGCAGTGGTTAAGTTGGCACATTCTGCTTCTCGGCGGCCTGGGGTTCGCTGGTTCAGATCCCGGGTGTGGACATGGCATCACTAGGCAAGCCATGCTGTGGTAGGTGTCCCACGTATAAAATAGAGGAAGATGGGCATGGATGTTAGCTCAGGGCCAGTCTTCCTCAGCAAAAAGAGGAAGATTGGCAGTAGTTAGCTCAGGGCTGATCTTCCTCAAAAAAAAAAGAGCCCTCTCCCTCCAGATGACTCACATACGCATGTGGAAATAATAATAGAATAATAATATAAATAATAATTTCACTAAAATAATAATTCTACTGAAACTACATCTAAATACAAAGACTGATCTTTTTTTAAAAAAAAGATAAGTGGGGAAGTTTTTAAACCTACTATTTTCAAAATAAACTGCATGATTGAACTCAAATTCTTTTTTCCTGAACTGTTTTGTTGACATTGATACAACCAAAGGCTGAGTGAATGCGTTTCTTCATGTGTAAATAGGCATCATATTGCCCACTCCACAGGATTGTTATGAGAATTAAATAAGATAACGTGAGAACAGTGCCTGGCATACTGCAGGCAGTCAAAAAGTAGTAGGTGCCATTAGTAACCATCATTACTAGTTTTTTACCAGAGCCCAAGTAGATTAACTGGCCAAAATTAACTGGCCTCCTAATCGATTTTATTTTCTTCTCTGCCATCTCAAAGATGTGTGGGTCTATCCTCACAGCAAAACTTGTCTCTATATTCCTTAAATTTGTAGCTCTGTAAAGGATTAGGCTAGATAAAGGAAATTCTCCAAATAAGCCAGACATTAAAATACTGATTCTATGTTCTCCTGTGACTCAAAAACAAACAGTACAATATTCACCAGCACAATTATAATTAGAATAGGGAATGCTTCAGTTAGACTTCTTCACATGACAGTCAAAAGATTATCATCAGGTTACCATTCCCTTGGGGTTCTCTCTCATGTGACAAACCCACCACAATCTATATTCGTCAACACAGTTGCCATTTCTAATCATAGCCTCGGAACTGTGAGCCGTATAATTATCACTATGCCATATTAGCATTTGTGGGTTCCCTCGATACTAATGGGATGCAAAAGGTGACATGTGTATGGATTGTGTCAAGTTGTCACACCGCACAAAAACATGGTCCCAATCCCACAGGCTGTAATATATACCTAATGATACACTCATGTCACAGAAGCACATAAATAGCGTTCTGCTGCCCGTTAAGGCTTCCTTGCAGTGATGAGCTCAGGGGGATGTATGTGAATGAGTGATCACATGTCATATGGGATGATTAAAAATGAGTGGGTCCCTTTTAGAGATTAGTGGTTGTTAAATTATTTCATTCACTTGCTATTCATGATGAATAATAAATCACTCTCGGCGTCTGCTGTTCTCTTCATTTATTACATGAGGATGTTTAGAAGCTAATTACTCTGAGACAGCGTCCCCAGCCAGAAAGGAGCGAGACGATATGGAATTCCAGTTCTGATTGCATTTTTTTATGCTGGGCCTGACATTTAGCCAGATTTTTTTCAGGGTTGCCCAAAGTTATATCCATTTCCTAGTTTTCTTTCAGACTTCAGACTGTCATAGTGTTTTAAGGGCTGTTGGGGACACTTTGAAGATCAAAAAGTCCATTAATCTAAACTAGTACTTCCTATAACTGTATAATTTCAGCCTCCATTAGGTAGGGGTCTGGAGGATTCATTTCCTTATTGGGCATCTGTTAAACACTTCACAGAATGTACAGCACACTCAGTCCCTTCTGTTACGCATGTGATCAATTAATTCCTTCAGTCAGTGGTTATTGAGTGCCTTCTGCATGCTCAACACTCTCATAGGGCTTGTGGAAAAGAAGAATATGAGCCGTGGTTTTGGCTCTGAAAGAGCTTAAGATCAAATCAGAGAGATGATTACTATACATAAAATGATAAAAAGATTCAATAAATATCTATTATACATGAACCTTGGGCCATGTACTGTGTTAGTCACTTTCAAAAACGTTCTGTCATCTAATTTAATCATAAAAATACTTTGGATGGGTCTTATCACCGTTTTACAGATGAAGAAATTGAAGCCCAGAGAGGAGACTTGCTTATGTTCAAACAGCTGCTCTGTAGAAGAAGTGAGACTCAAACCCCTCTGAATGCAAGCACAGCACACTTCCCAAAATCCCATATGTTCCAAACACAATATGCGAGACAATTGAGTGCTAATTTGTGTGGCAAGAAGACTGAGTTTTGTAGTTGAGAGAAAAGAGCCAGGAATTATCAAGCAAGCCTTTGTAGATATAGGGCGTTCACTGACTAAGGCTTTGAAGGGTAAAAAAGATGCCAGGGGAAGAAGAGAAAGGAACAGAAGCAAAAGCTCAGAGATCAGAATGAGAGAGAGACATGGGAGGGGCTGTTCCAAACTGAATTTGAATAGACCATATAAATTGTTGGGGGCACTAATTGAGTAGGTTTCCCAGGCAGATGGGACCAGATTTTGAAGGGTCTAGAAAACTAAGCAAGGAGCCATTCGGTGTTATACAACAGGAAAGAGAGCTACTGGAGGGTATTGTTTCCTTGACCAAATTTTGGTCAGGTTCCTCAGAGCTGCCTTCTCAACTAGGCCTCAGCCTTGGCCTCTGGGAACTGCAATCTCTCAGCACAAACAATTTTGTCCATCCT